TTTGTTTTGTTTTGCTATTTGGGATTGTTTTGTTTGTTTTGTTTATGTTTGGTTTGTTTAGTTTGTTCGTTTCTTGTTGTTTTTGGTTGGGGGTTTTTGGGGGGGAGGGTGGGGGTGTCTCTACGTAGTGTAGTTGTCCGGTGAATGTTTAGGGTTTCAGCTGAGACAATTAAAGAAAGAAAAAGAAGAAACGAAGAGCTTTTCGAAAAGATTTAAGTTACTCCATGTCATCCTCTGAAGCACACGTTGCGACACCAAAGTAGGAATCCAAAACAAACGAGCTAACGTACAGTACAGGGAGGTCACGAGATAGGTGTCTTCGTGCAAAAAGATCATGGAGTTCTGTTTCAGAGCGTCTTACAGGCGTCTGTGGTGTAGCCGTTAGTCGTTTTGGCGGGCATGTTCGCATACACATTTCGATTCCCTCGTAGTTGCAGGCGAGGGTTTTTGCTCGAATATCTCCGTCGATCAGCTGAGAATTTGTGTCCTCAGCCTGGGTTGATCTTGGCCGGCAGGGCTGAAGCAGCCCGCCTCTTAACTCCTTCAGAACACAGAAGGCCACTCATCCTTTATACTCAGCCAATTTCAATCTCAATGAGTGGCTTTGGTCACTTAGCGTTTCTTCCACCTTTCGTAAAATAAATATTACTCTTGTACAGAAATTAAAGGAAATGTAAGACTCTACCAAGAGCTCGTGACTCTTTAACGTTCAGCTGTTTTAAGTTTTTATGATGTGCTGCTTTCCTGAATTTATACCATTTTTTTCCCAAATTTTCTTTTGTAGAGCTATACTTAACGTTACTTTACCATTCTGATCCAGCGCCATTTGGGTTCTAGCCCTTCGTTCTGTCGATATGGCAAAGAATTTACAGGTTTTAATCAGCTGTGCTTTGTCGTTGTATAGAGTATTTCCGATGTCTGGGGAGGCAGGTAGGTAGGTGTTACGCAGGTCGCAAAGTGCTGGGCAGTTAAAGAGGTGGTGTGGTACTGTTTCATCCTTGCAGTCGCACAACGGGCAGTCGGGTGGAGTATCCTTATGGATCCTATTAAGGTAGGAATTTAGTGGGATGTGTTGTGTACACAGGCGAAAGATCGTGACTTGTTCTCTTCTACTCAGGGAATTTATTGCATCTTTAGTGTTGGGGGCTGTCATGTGTGCAAATACAGTTCTTCCAGTTTTGCCCATTGCCCATCCAAGTAGAGCTATAGAATGATTCTTTGAAGGATGTATGGATGTATAATGTTATAATAATATTACCTTTGAAGGACTTACATGTACATTTCTTCAAAAGGTACAGCCTCTGGTTTACCTTTTATCAACAATGTCACAATTGTTTAAGTGATTTTTTCCAGTCAATTCGTTGTGGAAAGCCAAGGAATACGCAATACTATTTCATTGTTCGTTGTAATAATACTATTATTATATTATGGTCTTAATAGGAATCAAGCCAATCTTAAACGTTTCTTGAGCTGATAATTACTTTGTACATTGCTAACTCTATCCACCCGCACAATGCTTACATAATATAGATTGTAAAGCGCATAGATAGCTAGCTGCTGAGTTGGAATGTGCGTAATACAAATGCTAGATCTATCTATTGTTATTTTTTTGGTCAAAATTATTATTATTATTACTGTTATAAGTGGCGGCTCGTGGTTTGTGAAACTGACCGGCTATCATTCATATTGATCTCCTCCCCCCCTCCCCCCACCCTACCTCAACCTCCAACCCCCTTGGTCTTCCTCTCACCCCTTCCCCTCCCCCGACCCCCTCCCACACAC